TGAAAAGAAAGAAGAATAAGATCCAGAAGAGATACAACAATCTAATCAAAGATACAAGAAATAAGTACTTGATAAATTATATTAATAAATACTAATTAATAAATATTTTTGGGTCTTGAGGAAATATTTTATATGTACATTTTTCTTATCAACACACACACATCTTACTTTATATAAGGCATGCATTCAGAATGCAATTACTACTACACCTGTATAATCTGCAAAGCTTTTCTCCATTGTCGCGCATTGATAGCGGCCTTCAACGCTAATACCGTCTCACCCGCTTCAATGAAATGATTAATGGCGGCGTCGTAATGACAGTTCGCTGCCAGATGCTTTCCCCAATCCCTCTCGAGCTCGACTACCAATGTGGGATCAACTTTACGTGCTAGATCGAGAGCTCTGGCAAACATGCCAGCCTGAGCGTAACAACTAATCGCCTCCGAGCCGGCGCCGGTTTTCTCCAATAGTTCTCCAGCGAGTTCCATGAGATCGGTAGCTTTAAGACCATTAATGACCTCCTCAACGATTCGCTCGTCCTCCAGCAGCTCGTTGTCGGTAAGAATTAGTCTAGCAGCTCGCGCAGGTCGACGTGCTTCCAAGTAAAGTTTCACGGCTCTCCTGGGATTCGTGGTCTCTATGATAGACGCTGCGCGGGCTGCTTGGCCGCTGTCTAGCAGCCAAGCTAAATGACGGTCTCGCAACTCTGACAGACCGCTCCAGTCGCGACTCTGGGCCAAACTCAAAGCGTCTTCCCAGTGCCAATAGCGCTGATACATATCCAGCGCCTTGTCCAACTCGTTCTGCTCTAGATAGATCGCTTCGGCGGTTTTTAGATCGCCGTTCAATACAGCCAGCCGGGCCCAACAGTCCGGATTGGCCAGTGGATCGTTGCCTGTTTCTTCGGCATACTTCTCACCGACCTTGAAGCGTGATAGAAGAAAAGATGACAGTATGATACTGGATCTTAAAAGAGACTGGAAATATTTAGAAGAAAAAAAATAAGAACCTCTGCAATCTCTTTCAGAAACCTCGCGCAAGCTACGTCGCCCATAGCGGCATAACACCTGGCAGCTATCATAATCTTCCTCTCGCTCATCGCGTTTCTGGCGACGTTCTCCCACATAGTTTCTACCTGAGGACTGTCGCCCATATTTTCCAAAAACAGTACAACTCTACCAAAGTCATTGTCGTGCAGCGCGGTGCCAAATTCAATCAGCTCCTCATCCAGCAGATACGGCACTTTGGCGCCATGCTCCTCCACAATCACGGACGTTCGACCATCTTCGCGAACAATATCTATCACGTCGCCCTTGATCGGCGTTAGCGTGATCGCTTCCGGCGCATCTACATTGTACCAAACGGCCAGAGTTTGACCTGTCTGAGCGATGACGACATCACTGCCGGGTACCCAAGATGCAAAGGATGCCCCAGTCACCAGCAGAATTCTAGTGTTCCGTGCGTATAAATGAAAAAATTAAGATTTTAATTATAAAGAATCTGCATTATAAGATTGTTTTAATAAAGAATTAATCTATAAAGCAAATCTTCAATAAAAATATCAGATCGATGCAAAATATATATTAATATCTCTTGTATTATGTTCCGTTTTTTAAGTAGAAATATTGTAATTATTCCAATTCTTTGAAAAATTGTGGCTAATTCGCTTCAATTAATTTGTATTCGATAGGAAATATCTTTTGCGCAGTAGATGCTAACAGTTTTAACAAAATGTTTCATTTATTTACCTGCCACCTGTGTCATTGCTCAGCCAGAGGCGACCTCGCTTGTCGCGCGACAATAGTCGATGACCTGCCTCGCTCAGCTCTAACCAGTCGATTCGAACATCATGAATGATTACGCTAATAGTCGCGCCGGTTAGCAGATCGATCACGCGGACGGTTCTCGGATCCAGCAGATAAGCCAACTTTTTATTATCGATCCCGCTGGTCAAAGGTCGTTCGTTGACGCGTACACTGACCACGTGCGGGTTTATCGCTTCCGTTCGTACGGAACCGAGCGCCTCGTTCTGGCCGTATTCGACGATCGTGAGCTCGCCGGAATAGAAAATCAAGCAAACGGCTGGATACTCGAAGAAGAATTTCTCGCCGTTGCTGGATCGGTCTTCCCATGGAATCTCACTGATCAAACCCAACTCAATGTCGCCGATCAGCAGAGTGCGCGCCGTGCGTGCCACAACGTTATTGTCCCTACGTCCTAAAACGCGCACGTCCTCGATCTCCAGGCCAGTCTGCGATCTGACGACGATGGAACGTTGCGAGGAATCGTTCAGAGGTCGAATCACCACCTGGCTGGGACCTACGTAGGCCACCTCGTGACTGCCACGGACTACAGTGCGTCTAAAGACAAAGACAGGAAAATTTCTAGAGACACGTATCTATAGTAATTTTGTGGCAACACAAGTAAAATGTGATCTCATGTGCGTAGGAGTTTAAATAATTTATTATTTGCAATTATTCGGCTAAAAACTAAAAACTCTGGATTAAATCTGTTGGTGAAATCTTTACTCGTTAATAACAAGTTATGCTGCAAAACGGAAAAGCATTGGGTTTGTGCGTTAATTTTCGCGCGTTCTCAAATCAGGATAATTTTATGTTGAAATCTTTAACAATAGAAAGATGTCAAAGATTCAAGTTTCATGTAATTTAAAGCTCTGAAGAATATTGAATGAAAAAATAGAAAAAGTTAAAAATCCAGCTGTCTCATGATCCAGTCACCTGAGGATAGTTTCGAATTGCTCGACACCACCGCACAATCCCCCGACCGCTAGCTTCGAACCGTCTCGTCTCCAGGCAAGTGCCGTGATTGTGTAGAAATTAGGCAGGGCACGCACATTAGTCTCCTCCCAGACGCTTCGTCGCGGGGTCCAATCGAGGACGCGCACCTTATCCCAGGAACCCACGGCGACGCTCTGACCGCTCGGGCTGCAACAGGCTACGGTAATCTCTCTCTCTTGAGAGTCCCGGCTATAGTCAAAAGTCTTGACCGGCTTGCCGTATGAATCGTAAACGGTCAACCGCTTATCGCAACCTGCCGCTAGGATGTGCGACTGCGGCCATGCTAGAGCGTAAGCAGGCACGCCGTGAACGCACACGCGTCCCGACGGCTCCGCGCCGCCATTCTCGGTGATGTAGTAACGGATTATACTTCCATCGGCGTGGCTCGATATGAAGCCGTTGCCGCGAATGCTGAAAGTCGAAGGAGAAAACTGTAAACATTACTGAAATTTCGACAAATCATAATTACGGGTCATTATGTGGCTGCATAATCGATATCTCAGAGCGTAGTCGATGAGTTTTTTTTATTTACTTGCTAGCTAGAGCTATCGTCATGGCGTCGGAAGTGTACAGGGTCTGCGCCTTCTGCGACTTGACTAGAGCCGCGCGAACCTTTCCATCCGCCAATCCTACGATAATTGTACCTTCCGCGGGCCAGATCAAGCAGGTCACCGCGGAACTCTGTCGAAATTTGTTGCAAATCACTTTTTTGTCGCCCCTGAAATAATTTCCGATATTAATAAACAGTTTTTGTTTCAATTTATATAT